TTGGGGGAGGGGGCGTATAAGTCGATCAAGGTAGGGATACTAGTATTAAATATACGAGTGCATCTAGTACTTAATCGTTTCACCCCATCCACCTCCCAACAATTTACATACTAATATTGAAATGGATAAAATAATGAAAAACGATAATGGGTCTGGAGGGCTGTTGCTAAAACGAGGAACGGAAAACGTATTATATTTTTTATTTTAGATTAAATCACCTTAAATACACAAATTAAAAAACAATATATATTTTATAGATTCAATCCCCCATTATTTAATTCAAGTTGATTTTTTCATGTTCATAAAATCTCTTATTCACGAAAATCGCAGTCATAACAGTGACGTAGAAACGATTTTGGAAGGGTCAAGGGGGAGGGGGTAAAATTAAACTTACCTGAAAAGAATTTGCCAAGCGAAAAAAGAAGAAGACAATTGTTTGATTCGGGAGGTGTGATAAGAGTAAACTCCAGCATCTTTCATTTTCTTAAACTCCTTTATGGGGAGTTTTTTGTATAACATCTCCTGTCAGTATTTTTATAAGATTGTACCAATTTAAAATTGGCAGAAAGCAAACAACTTACTGAAGGCTCAAATTTTATATGTTCAAGTCTCAAAATTTATATGAATGATACTGAAATAGAGTCCGTTTGAATTTAAATACTTGTAATTTCCCTTTTATTTATTTAAAAGAAGCTAACTTACAAATTGGCAAAATGCTAATCCTCATATTAGTATGGAATGCCATATACGACAGCCAACTGCTTACTGCCAACTGCTCACTGCTTACTGCCAACTGTCACACATATTTGAATAAATTTTAAAATTTATGTGAATATTTATGTGAATTGTCAAAAAAAAAAAAAAAAAAAAAATCAAAATTTAAAAAAAAACATGGATCCAGGATTTTTTCCAGGAAGGATCCACCCCAGTAAAAATAAATCGAACTCAGAAATTTCTTGACAAGAAAAACAAGTATATACTGACAAAACGCCAGAGATACTCAAGCTGTAGAAAGCCATCTAGGAAGTGTCATTAATATCCTATAATGGTATAAGATGAGGGCTAATGAGTTCAATCTTCTGTTGAATAAAATAACATGTATGTGAAAGAAAATTCATATATTGAATTTAATAAGAATAAATACAATTAATCATACTACTTTTTAAGATGAATTTACGTTACTCACTTTCAGGAATATTCTATAGAGCATAGTGGCCTTTTCTTAATTTAATGAAATATTTTTATGGTGATATACTTTAAACTAAATATACGGTTTTTTTAAATTATCATTTTTGCTTAATGAAGTATATCGATCAAAATTTAATATACATCAATCCAAATAGCCAATTACAAGCCTACAAGTAGAAAAGTTTTTCAAAGTAGGGGGGGGGGGTTACTACCGAGTCCGGGTTCCAAAAAATCCATGTGATCAAGGCTTCATCTGTGCGACATATCTAATACATATTCCGTACGAATCCAAAAGAAGTTATATAGGTTCCGTTACCAAAGCTGAAGATAACTAGTGCAATATTTTGAAATTAGAGAAAAACGTACGAGGGAGAATTGAACATTAATGTTGTGCTATTACTTTACTGTCACTCAAAGTTCACACACATCAACCCGTGAGAGGCAATTTCAATATGGGGGGTACAACCATACATTTTCTGACCATGCATAGTAGAATTTTTTGACGATGAGGTAACCTGCGTCACCTTTCAGAGTAAACAGTGGACTCGTCCAAAGACGCTTTGTCGGCGTCTGTAAAAGTTACCTGAGATTCCTACGCAAAGGAAAACACGAAATCTCTGTATAGAAACTGTTGCGGCTGCGGAGCTTTACTCATTGTTCATTCGCCATAAAAAAAGAATCCGACATTTAACGCTTAATATCTTCGAATATACAGACTTTTTCAAGATAAGCTTCATTTTTGTTTCTAGAAATATTTTTATCTACAAAAATAATATCTGTTCGTGTATTTTAACTGAGTAAATCGATGACCTAGCATCGTTTTAGATAACTCAAGCCCCTCTAGGGCTTGAGTAATAATGTAAACTTTCGTAACCGTGAAAAATTATTTTTGCGGTGTGGATGGGTTAAAAAATTATGCACCATATCTGCATATCTATGACTTTTCATACAAATTAACTTAATACAGATCCGCGTTTTCGGGGGGTGGGGGGCGTTTCAAGGTCAGTTTTAAGTACTTATTCTAAAAATCATTGACAGAAAGTTAATTGCTCTTATGTATAACTCCTTTAATAAGGGGTAGATTTTATCCATTGAAATCAGACTGAACATATCATCAGATCTTCAAATACTAATGAAAATGGATAAACGACTCCTTAATCTCATCGTATGTTTTTATTAATGTAGAATTAACATATGAGATTGATAAAGTATATTATTTTTTATTTGTTATCTTACAAAATGACTATTTTCCTGTTTTTAATCCCCCCCCCCCTACATGAGACAACAAAATCTTTGGAAAGGATAAAAACTGAAAAAAAGGGATTTGTTGTTGATTCACGGGGGAGTTATTTTAAAAATAAATTTCAATTTCCCGTTAATTTTGAACCTTTGATATTTTTTCTCAAAGATTTATATCTCTTTGTTTTTACAAAATAAGTTATGTTTTATATGCACAGAGGGTGGGGAGGGGGGTCCGGACCATCCCTATGAAATTAGTAAAGGTATTTAATGTACAAACTAAACCAACTGAAATTTATATAATGCATAAATTAAAAGGGCCTTGCCCCCCCCCCCCCTAAAACGCGGATCCATGTTTAATTGAAAAATCTCATAGACTTAAAACATGAGACCCCCTCCTGCCAAAATAATTTTTCACATTTAGGAATTTAACTGAGTTTACTTTTTTTCTTGTCAAAAAATTTCTGGGTTGGTTTTTTTTTCTACCCGGGTGTCCCTCTTGGAAAAAAATCCTGGATTCGCGTCTGTTTTTGTTTTTTTTTTTTTTTGAAAATACACATGAATATATCAAAATATATATGAAAATTTATTCAAATATGTGTGGCAGTTGGCAGTAAGCAGCTGACAGTTGGCAGTTAGCAGTTAGCAGTTGGCTGTCGTATATGGCATTCCATATATTAGGGGTAATTTCTGACAATTTAGTTTTATTTAATTTTTAATTTAAATATTTTTCAATCTTAATTATTATTTCAATGAAAATTGTTACATGTTTTAATATCTAACAACAATTTTTTTTAATTTAAAGTACTGTATTTGACTTTGTAACCCATTTGAGTTTGAGCAATTTTTTGGAAAATTGGCAATTTGTAAATCCCCATATCTCAATTATTTATTATTTCCCAAGTTCAATATTTTGCAAAGATAATATTTAGAGTTATATTTGTACAATAAAATCAAAAAAATTAATTTCAGAGATTGGTCTTGGAAGATTTTGGGCATTAAATTTGTAATACTTTTGGCAATTTTTTAAAATTGGCATCATGCCAATATTCAAGAGTTGTCTGCCCTTTGAAAAATTGCATATTTGATTATGATAAATGTCAATTTTGAAAGAACATAGTCTTATGTTACTTAAAAATACCTTAATGGAAATGCAAGTTTAATTTTGAGTAAAATAAATCAAATGTGAATTTTACCATTTTTCTTGAATTTTTTAAGTGCATTTGCACTTAAATGTGCAAAAAGGAGGTGGCACTGCCCACGGCTTCCATGTTGAATGATGGGAATTTTTTTGGTCATTTTTTAATAACATATTATAAAGTCTAACTACCCACCAAATTTCATTAAGATATGACAACCTTCGATTTGGACAGTTCTGCATGGTTTTCTCGCGGACTGGCTCTTAATATTCTTCAGATATCCAGTGATTTTTTTGTAAAAAAATCTTTTTACTTGAATTAGTTTCTACACGGTTGAATCTCTATGTTATTGATAATTGTTGAAACAAATTTAATAAAAAATTTCATTCAGCAATTTCATAAGGTTTCCAATCCCACGGCTATGTTAGTTTTAGCTCGCCTGAGTCAAAGGTTCAAGTGAGCTTTTCTAATCACATTTTGTCTGGTGTTCACCTATAAACTTTTCACATTTTCGACTTTTTCTCAAGAACCATTGGGTCAATTTCAACCAAACTTGCCACAAAGTATCCTTCGGTGAAGAGGATTCAATTTAGTTCAAATAAAGGATCATACCCTCTTCCAAGGGGAGGAATTATGAATTATTGAAAAATTTGTGGCTTCCTTTAAATATCTTTTCAAGAACCACTGGCCAGGAAAGATGAAACTCATGTGGAATGATCCTCAGGATTTTAAGTTTATAATCATGACCCGAGGAGTAGGGTGGGGCCACAAGGGATGATCAAAGTTTAACATAGCATTATACAGGAAAAATCTTTAAAAATCTTCTTACAAAAGCAAACAATGATTGGTCATATGTACCTGGAATCATCCTTGGATGGTGTAAATTGAAGTTTGTTCAAACCATGAACCCCAGAGGAAGGGTTGGGTCACAATGGACGATTAAAATTTTACATAAGAGAACAATTTTAAAAAATCTCCTTTGCAAGAACAGCACATTCATGATTGATCCTAGGTTGTGTAGATTCAAGTTTGTGTTCAAATCATGACCTCCTGGTAGGATTGGGCCACCATGGACAAACAAGTTTAACATAGGAATATATATAATGGAAAAAAAAATTTAAAATTTAATCTTCTTTTCTGACAAGATCAACAAAGCCATGATTGGTCACATTTACCATATATGGAAGCATTCTCAGGTAGTGTAGACTCAAGTTTTTGTTTTCAAATCATGGCTCCCAGGGGATGGGTGGGGTCACAATGGATGATCAAAATTTTATCTAGAAGTATACAGGAGAAATCTTCTTTTCAAGAATGGAATAACATCGACTGGTTATTTGTGAAGATTCAACTTTGCTTAAATCATAATCCCACTACCCCTTTTTAGGTAGGTCGGGACCATGGGCCTCTTGTTTTTAATTCATTATAAAATAAATATAAAATTTTAATATTTTATTCAAATAGTTGTTTTTCTTTAATATAATCAGTAACAGTTTATGAAAATATCAACAATTTGATACCTACAACCACGAGTGGTGGATGAATGCAGGCTTTTGTAACTTTTGAATTGTTCCTCTGCCAAACATTCCACCACTTTACACCATACATAGGTCATACATGTATACACTGTACATAACTAACATATGAAACATAATGCCGATCAGTTCTGAACAATTTTATGTTCAATTCACCATGCACTGCTTGCAGCAATTCTCCTTTACCAACATGTAGAGCACAAGCATTCCATTTAAATTTCTCTCTGGGCGTAATAAATATTTCATTTTTAAATTGACTTTCAGCTCAATTACGATAAAAACATTTTATTCAGGGAAAGATCACAGCCAGAAGTCATGCAATGAAATTAAGACTGGTTTGACCAGACAATGAGCACCAATGAACAGTGGCCAATCTTGTTATCCAATGAATGGAGGTCAATCCCATCGTCCAACGAATGTGGGTAAATCCTGTCATCCAATGAATGATGGCTATCCCGGTCGCCTGATCTCAGTCAGACTCCATGTCTTCTTCCTCCTCCTCAGTGCCGTTGACTTGAGCGTGGTCTGTAGCCCCCTCCGTATCCGACAAAAATAAATCATCAAAGTCCTACAACAGTTAGATAAAGGTAGTGTACAGATTTAGGCAAAGAAAGACAACTTGTTAAATAATGTTTATTTGTTTATTTCAAGTTGAATTGTGCATTTTCGTCCTTCGGATGAGACAGTATAAATTGAGGCCCCATTTCGCATTAAATGCTGGCATGAAAAAGATCCCTCCATGCTCAATGGCCCTAAGTGCCGATTATAGGTCAAAATTTGTAGCTCTCCACCAGCAAATGGTGGCATCTCCATATGAGTGAAAAATTCTCGAGAGGGATGTTATACAACAATCGATGAATGAATGAATTGTGCATTTTTTTTTACCTCTGTGTCTGATCTCTCTGGCATCAAGTTGTCTATAGCCATATCATCATCTGATGACTCTAAAACATAAAGATTTTGTTACTTATCAAGTTGATTTTCTATTGTATCATTATCTATTCTTCTCCATCCTTAAATTTAAATATTTTACAGTATTTATCAATGAAATGCCTTTTACCTTCCTGATACATAAGAAGTGGTCTCTGATCTGGGGTAACTTCTTCCTCCTGCTGAGCTTGGCTTGCAATCTGTTATATATGTAAACTAACTTGAAGAAATATGTGTATGCATATATATAAATTAAATTATTTATTTACTTCTATTTTTCACCAAAAACAAAGATTTTAAACAACCGATTTCAATTTTATATGAATCTACATAAATGTTTAATTCTTTTCTTTTTTTCCTGAATTTTTTACAATATTTGACAAAGATTCAGATTTAACCTTTATAAAAAATCTGATGTCTGCCAAAAACACATTTAACAATACCTGTGATAACATTAGCTCTAGTTTTCCTTTCAGTTTAGACAAGCGGTCCACTAATCTGGTCCGTGAATCCATTGACTGATACAAGACACTCAGGTTATCTACCATGTCAGGGAACTACAATTAATACATATCACATTTAAATGTTTTAAAAACATACCTATGTAAGGATTTAAACACCTCTTTAGTTTCTGGTCAAACATTTCTTCAAGTAGTGATTTCAAGTTGAAAATATATTACTATGAGGTAAACTTAACTTAATATTATTCCTAACAAGCTATTTTAAACTTACATTTTAAATGTAGACATGAGCTATTACATCAAACCTTTGCAACAATCCAGTAAATTAACTAGCATAGTAATGAATTGTGCATTCAGGAAAACAACATAATTAAATTGACAAATGACAAAAGACAAGGTCTTTGTGAAAAACAAATCTCTTCGCAGATCATACATGTACTTGTAGAAATGTAATATGTATTTTTGGCAGAAACTGACAAGTAATATGCTATTATGATGCCATACTTGAATTAAAACTACATACTGTAATCAGGTAAGAAGTGTGAACTGTAAGCAGAGTCTTTAACCATTTTACATATAATCCACCTCTGTAAATACAAAATAAACACTTGACATAAAATTCCATGGCAATAAACCAAAAAGATATAAAACCAGAAAACACTTATACATGTTTAACTAAAACATTAGGAAAAAAGCTCACATAGGCAGTGAACTGCTGCCCAATTCCAGTTAATATTTTAAATGTGAAATAAAATTTGGTTTAAATTGAACCATTCAGTTAGTATATCATACTTTTCAGATGGTCCCGATACACAACTTGTCAGTTCTTTAACCAGAGGAACAATAGCCTGAACTGGAAGCATCTTGATGGTGTTGGTTATAATGGTGTCACTGGTGGGCCTGCCCAGGACACTCTACAAAAATAAAACCAATTCTTAAAAAATTCTTTGAATATTTAAATGATGAATAAAATATGTACAGAGTAATAAGGGTTTCAAAATTGGCACTGCATCAGAGATAATGATCAACATGACAGTTATGGGTTTGTATGGGGTGAGTAGCCCCTCCCTTAACTGTTCAGTAGGATCCATTGTATACATCATATGCAGTTTGTACTAACAGGGTCAATAGATGTGTCAGTTCTTACTTTGAGAATGTTTTTGTCTTCGCTCTGTAGTCCCTGTGTCAGCAGTCTTACTAGTGTGTCGGCTTTAGGGGGTTCCTTGGAGGTCTCTGGTTTATTTATACTGATGGCATTTAGCCTCTCTTCCATATTCATCTAAAAATAATTCAAATTAAGTGTTACTGTTAGTTCATAATTTAAAGAACTGTTACTAATGTATGCAATATGCCTATCTTATCACAAATAAATCAAAATAGAAAAAAAGATGTACATGTACTCTATTTACAACTATTAATGAATTCTTATCTTAATTTTCTTTTCTCTTGCACAATTATTCTAAAGAAACTTCCTGCATTAATAATTTCATTTAAGAATGTGCTTGCTAATTCATACTTTGATGGACTACATCTCAACCTTACATCTGATACAGATGGTTTCCTTTTCCTTTTTTCCTTCAAAGAAGGTCCAATAGCAACTGTGTTCTCAGGAGCAAGCACTGTTACATCATTAGAAACAGCTGGTGTCTTTACCTGCAAAGGAAAATTCAAATCAAAATGTAAATATCAACAATAATCTTTCTCATAAATGAATATATATCCAAATAAACATAAAATTCTTTCAAACAAAATATGGCACGTTCTGTACATTTAATAACCATCTATTTAAAGCTTTCAAAAGAATGTATTACCTTAGAAACATCAGCCTGCTTCTTCACTGATGATAACACAGGTTCATCTCGTATTAAACACATATCTGAACTTGACATATCCAAGGCCTGAAAAGAAAGAAAAGGTACAACTTCTGTCTAAACCTTTAAAATCAGTACTAAAACTATGATTTAAACACAAAATTCCATTGAAGTCTCCATACTTGATTTATTTGATTTAAGAGAATTCATTTAACTATGTCTCTCTCTCTCTCTCTTTCTCTTGCTCACGACATAAAATCTTACCACTTTTTCAAACACAGGTTTGAGGTAATTTCCATACACCAACAGGAGGCGCTGGTCTTCACACAGATGAGTGGCCAGTATGGAGATTGGTTTAGGAATGGAGTCACTGCCCCCTGATGAGGCTATCTGGATCGTCACTTTAGGTTTAATAGGTTTCTTCACTTTTCTACATAGAACATTTTTGTCATATTTGTATCATTCTCTGCATTCAATCATTAAAAAGGCAAAAAAACTCATACAAATAGTTTATCACATTTGTTGTTACCGATTACTTGAACAAATTAATGTAAATCCCCTACCCATTCATTGTGTGGTCAAATACCAACACTTGCCCACTTCTTGTCACAGCAGCTAATATTACCTAAAATACATTTTACAATTTAATTTTCAAAAAAAAAAATGTTACCTTACACATACATACATGTACTTTTTAAAACTTTTGAAATAGGTTTTAAATTGTATTTTGAAAAAGTGGTATCATTTTTCCCCTTTATATGAAATTCAAAAGGCAGTGATCAAGTATACAAATTCACAGACCTCTTCCTGTATTTTCTGTAAATCTAACATAACTGGTTCCTCTGGGAGTGAAAATGAGGCTATAGAACTTTTATCTTTCACTGAAGAGTTTACTTGCCTATAAAAATGAAATGCATTTCCTTAGTGATTTGTATATATTTAGTTAACATTTTTATAAACTGTATCATAAAAAGAATTTGTACAAAGAATCAGCAATGGAGTTTATGTAACAGCCAGAACTGGTACATCTTCAATTTCAGCAAAATTTAGAAAATTTCATTGTATCTGATTTTTTTTACTTTAATAACATACCAGACATTGACAAGTCGGTCATTCAAAGCTGCTGATAAGAAATAAGTTCCCTCTGGACTCTCCGGCAATTCTGTCCGACTAGGGAGTATGGGAAGTAACCGGAACACTTCTGTAGCATGACCAGTAAATTTCTGCACAAGAAATATCATTTTATTTAAATTTTGAACTATGAACTGAATAAACTGAAACCAGTGATATAAATTAATCATATGGAATTTTTTTTCACAAACAGAAATGATTGATTATTACATTAATTTACCACAAATGTCTTATATTTAGTTAGCGTGTACAGTTTTACAACAAAATATTTTCCTAAAATTTAGAGTAAATTTATTAAAGTTCAATTTTGAAAGTGCTAGATGTAAAAATATTCATAGAAGACATTAAACAATGTACTTGATTTGCAAGAAGCTGCCTTCAGCTAAAATTCCTAGACAGAATGCACAGTCAAACGAGATACATATCATATACATTATAACAATATAACACAAGGAAATCAATAAAAGATTTTTAACAGTACTATTTTCAACTTCATTCAGTTGTTCAGTATACTTCATCACTATCTTTAATATTTCAGTCAAATACCTTAAGTACACTATAAGTCTCTAGATCCCACAGTTTGATTGATCTTCCTGATGACAAAAGGTGATTCTGAGCACAGAGACAAATAGAATGTATGCTTCCACTGTCACCTTTCCATTTGCTGAAAGATCAAGACAGAAATACCCATTTTAATTATCTTACCAGAATACGACGGCATTGCTGTCAGTCTAACTAACAAAAGTATTCTTTGGCAATAAGCATATAATTTCAAATACTAATGCAATGGAGAAATCAGTTAAACACAACATTTTAACACAACTGCACCATGTTATAACAATTTCAAACTTTTATTTTATTTAGCTCTTGTCTCTGCTTTTGAAGTTTGTAGACCTGCTTTATATTGAACTTTTGGAGATGGTATAATAAATTAATAATCCTTACTGTTTGGCTTTTCCAGATTTGACATTCCACTGGATGATATGTCTGTCACAGGAACAACTGATAACGGTGTTGTTTTCTGGATGCCAGCACACATCATTGACAGTGTCTGCATGACCCTCTTCCTACAAGGGATTATCTATTCCTTCAATTTCAATTCACTGGTAACAAAAAATGTGTACATAGACTTTGAAAAGTTTAACACTTCTAATAATATAAAAGCTTCCATTTTGGCCGGTTTAGAAAGTTTCCAGTAAGTTTTAAATTAGTTTATTCCTTTGAATCCTTTACCATATTTATTTTAAAGATACTTTATTGCTTCTACTGATTACATGCAATTTCAATTTCATTGATCCACTATACATTGATTTAATTTAGCTCTGTGTATTCTAAACTCATTATTACAAATATTTACAGCAGGCACAGTGAGGCACCCTATGTTTCTCTGATTTACAATGCGTGAAAGTCATTGAGAATATAGTAGAAATCAGTTAGCCTCAATGTCACTAAAAATGGTGCAAGATTACCATAATGGTTTTGACATCTCCTTTTACAATGCTGTAAATAAGGATGCTTCCTGCTGTCGTTCCCACAGCAATTAAATCATATTGTTCTGTAACAGCTGTGCCACCAGATTTTCTTCTTTTCTTTCGGCCTGGTGTGTCCTTTACAAAGAATAAAAAGATTGTTTAAAGGCAGAGAATATAAGCACCTCACCAAAATTTACCTTCTCTAAGGACCCCCCCCCCTTATCAATCAAGCAAACCAAGGCCTTTCATTGGATGCTAGAAACTGATTAACATTTAGTTCCTTATCTCTGTGCATACCTTGTTGATTAGGTTATAATATTTTTTAATGTTGATTTTTATTCAAAGAATAGATAATTGTGGTGTGGGTACATAAAATTTACACGTACATTGATTTTACAAAAAACTGAAATTGTTGATGCACATTGAAATCATTATATATGTTAAAAGCAGGGATTTGTATTGGTCAATAATGTTTTACTTTGGCTCAACATTTGAGAAATGAATTTTCAAGACTGAATGCTTTTCATAAACAAAAACTAATGTTGGGTTAAAAAAGGGCCAAATGCAGAAGCTTGATGATGAGTATTAGTTATCATAACTTGGGAGAGAGTGAAAGTTGTGTAAAACTGGAAAAATTTTACTCTCATTAGCTAGGGGAAATGGGGAGGTGCAATAAGCTTCTAACAAATTCGTCATGATAGGCTATCTTTTTACATGAATTTATATGGAAATTATATAAATATTTTAAACACTGATCATAACTGTGGTTCCATTCACAACAGAAGCAACTGCCAAACCAAGATATTTTAGGAAGTGTCTATCCGCACGACGGTCGTGCCGATTATATTCGTTATTCGCACGACGGTCGTGCCGATTATATTCGTTATTCGCACGACGGTCGTGCCGATTAGAAATCTTATCCGCACGACAATAACAAAGAGAGATAACTTCTCTAAAATATTGTGATGACACGCTGCACGTTTTGCTTTAAAAATGGCAGTTAAATGGCGTGAAATGGCAAGTCATCATAAAAATAATGTGGCATTAAAAAAAATTGGCTTTAACCCCCCCCCCCCCCCCATGTAATAGGATTTTGGGAATCTTTTTTTTTTTTGCTTGTCAACTTCTTCAGGTAAGGAAAAAAAAAAAAAATTCTGGGTACACCCACGTTCACAAACGAATACCCCTCAGTTACAATATTATGTATAGAGGAGTATTTTTTGTATGGAACGGTTATCAAGATTTCTTTTAACTAAATTTTTCGCATTGAAAACATGAAAAGACAGTGTAATAAATATAAATTGTAAAATAAAAAAAAAAATCAAGGGGTCATATATTAGTGTGTGGCACTGTACAATAATGGGGTCATAATCCCATTTCCTTTTAAAAAGATCTGCATCTATTATACAAATTGTGCTACATGTTTGTTGTTTTTTGTTATATAACACGTATATGAACGGTTTCGCTTTAAGACTATTAATGAAGTCAAAATGTTTTAAGAGTTCGAGTTATTTTTGAGACAATCCTTTTAAAAAGTAAAAGAGTTATTTCTACGTAATATGTTGATTAAATATTTTGTCACAATATCACGCTATTATTCTTTACTTATTTATGGGAAAGATATTTCTTTGTGATAAATATAATATACAACCACTGGACCTTTTTAACCTTTCTTATATCGTAAAGTAAAAAAAAAATCCCCATATTTCAATGTTATTATTATGGCTGCAGCATGGGAATTTTTCATTTATTAAGAGAAATGTTTAAAACGTCAATTGACTTAGATTAGAACCGTAATACACTTTTGTTTATCAGCAGAACTAGAATTATTATTATTCTTCAAATCTTTCGAGTACTGGTTTGTCATAGCTTTTGATACTGCACGTCAATTCTCGTTTTTAAAATTCCCCCGGGTGATCAATGGCCCGCCCCAAGGTACAGAATCGGCCGAAGTTGGCCAGATTTGTATTATTTTCAAGAGATCATGAGGATGCTGTCGCGGGAAAATGAGATAGCGCAAAAATGGAGGAAGGGATGGATGTAGGCGACACATTCGATACTTATGAAGATTTTGAAAAAGCTTTAGAAGCCTACTGCGAAAGAGAAAATGTTCAATACACCATCACAGACAGCAAATCAACAAAAAGCGAGAATCTAAAAGTGAAAAGACCTTATGATGAAAAATTTCAGATTCAGATTTGTAAAATATGAATGTAAGCATAAAATAAGAACAAGGAAGAAAAAAGTGAAAGGACTTGGGCTTCGACCAAATCAGAGGTATAGTAATAATTATGAATGTCATTGAATTAATGTTTAGGACATATGCAACATAGTGATGAAATTGATTTATTTATTGATTTTACAAAACATTTGAATTACAATTACATGAACAAAATATTTATTTTAAAGAAAAAGAAATATGTAATCTCTTATACGTGCATAATGTGGTGTATAACCATTGGACAGTCCAAAGACTATTTCTACCTATGCAGCTAAGTAATAGTAGCATAGTAATTTTTGCAAAATTGTTGCTTTAATTACGAAGTTTTTAATTTTTTGCCACAGTTTTGTTGTATTCATTATCATTTGTTTTACCAGTGTGTACAATAAGTTGTGGGTATTTTAGAGGAGTTATCTCTCTTTTTATTGTCGTGCGGATAAGATTTCTAATCGGCACGACCGTCGTGCGAATAACGAATATAATCGGCACGACCGTCGTGCGAATAACGAATATAATCGGCACGACCGTCGTGCGGATAGCCTCGGCCGATATTTTAATGCACTATTCACAAACCAGGTCCAGTCCAAAGACTATTTCTACCTACGTAGCTATTAATAGCTACCTAGGTATTTAAAGCTACCCAAAGTAGCCATTTTTACCTACTTTCTGCTTTACTTGCATTTTGTGGCCAAATGCAGGAACGGCGCAACATGGTGAGCACAAAATTTCTTGATACAGTCACACTGATCATGAATATGACAAAAATTTGGCCAAAAAATGATTACTTCGTATATTATCAATTTTGCATAGAAACTAATGTAAAATTGCCGATTCAGGAAGTAATCATTTTTTGGCCAAAATTTTGTTGTATTCACCATTAGTGTGACTGTATCAAAGGTTATGGTATTCACCATGTTGCGCTGTTTGGTCTTTGTGCCGCAAAATGCAGAAATTTTAAAAAGTAGGTAAAAATAGCTACTTTGGGTAGCTTTAAATACCTAGGTAGCTATTAATAGCTACGTAAGTAGAAATAGTCTTTGGATTGGACCTGCAAACCCCTTGATGCTGGAAGTTGCATTTAACTTCATAACACGAGGTGAGCAGTTATGCGTATTTACAATATCTTCTAGCACAAAACTTCAAAAATAAGCTATCACTAATTTCTGCTCCCTTTCTGATGATAATGTCAGACTAGATGAAAATATTATTGAAAAGTTCAACACATTTTTTATACCAGGTTTCTTTTTGGTCCCCATGAAAGACACGTGCACGTCGCTGACAAGTGTGCACTGGGTGTATATTCTTGCTTTAAGACACCATTGTCTGCTTCCCACAGCTTCAGCACCCCATCGGGACTCGAATAAATGCTATATTGACTGTTGTCCGAGATCGCAAATGGTGTGATGGAGGCCATTTTCAACACGTGTTTGGCTTTGCGCATGCTCTAGTGAAAGTTAATGCTAATTGGTGCATGATGAATTCATCCTACAAATAAAATTCAAAATAGAAAAAGTTTGTAATTTAGTCTGTTACCAATAATTTCATAAAAATTCAATTTAAAATTTACATATAATATAAGAATATGAATATAATTGCCTTTTCCCGATAGAATAAAAAATGTTTTCATCGAAAATAATTTTATTATTGTTGATGTGATATTAATTGCTTGGATTTCTCTCCATTTCAATGAAATTCGTCTGATTGAAGTAATTAAAATTTAAAACTATCTCTAAGAATTTAGAAATCTAAAACAAATATTTTATGCATTTTTTGGGATTTTTTACTTTATTTTCTTCCTTCTTTATTACTGTTATTAGTCTTTCCAGAAATTCATTTCCGGCTTTCTGCATGTAAACATTGGTAAAACTCAAGGATCTGAAAAAGGGTATATGTAGAGAAATGTAGAGCCATTACAGTTTATTTTTGTTAAGAAAATTTAAAATGCAAAATATGTCATCTTAAGATTCTCCCGTGATACTGTATATTCACCCCTTTTATGCAATTTTGCAGATCTACATTACTGGAGTTAAACTTGCAACTTTAGTGGTCATGTGATAAGCCTACTGCAGGTCCAGCACAATACCCTGATAAAGGTATATAGCTTGGTAAAGCTATATAGCTTTATCAAGGTATACAAATACTTTGATCAAGGTATTTTATGTAAAGAAAATACAAAATAAATTCTTTAAAAATTTAAAAGTTGAATTATGAGTTGTGCCTTGTGGTCAGTGTGTTCACTCATGCATGAAAAGTACTTGGGTTTCAAAAAGACAGCATAAAAGAATGTCTTCTCATACTGATTTCTTTGTGTTTGATTACTTTACTTGCATGAGTGAATTTACTGACAACAACTCAGAACTCGAATTTCACAGTTTCAGAATTTTTTTTTTGCATTTTTTTTTTGTATTTTCATTACATAAAATACCTTGATCAAGATATTTGTAATACCTTGATAAAACTATATAGCTTCATCAAGCTATATACCATTATCAGGGTATTGCACTGGACCTGTACTGTAAGCAGTGTCTTTAAAAAAAAAATTAAAGGTGTAGAACATTTAAAATACCATATAATCCCTATTAACCGCCCCGGGTGCTTAGAAAATTGCGAAAAGGGGGCAGTTATTTTGGTATTCTCTTTATATTATTTAATGTCATTCTTATACTTCAAAAATTTTAAAGAACAACTAAAATAATGTCGAACTTTACTTTAAGTGAAGATAATCCACCCAATTTATGCGATATGATTCATTTTCCACTGAGAAATTGGATAATAGACAAGTTACATTTTCACTTTGTTCAAATTTTGGCAGACTTTTGATACGATTCTAGATGATTTTAATCACTGTACAGGGGGCCCTTATTTTCTGATAATTGAAAAAAGACCTAGGGGGCGCTTATAGGGGCAGGGGCGGTTAATAGGGATTATACGGTATTCAATAGTTTAGCTACCCAAGTAAGACTGTATAACAGTTACTATACACCACAGAGGGATATATTTATATACAAAAAGTTTAATCAAATTATACACAACTATCCTGGCACATTGGGTTTTTTTTTTACCTTTTTAAGAATTATCCTTCATTTATTGCAAAGTTTTAAATACATGTACAGTATTATTCTTAGAACATCTTGGGTTAGAAAGATAATTTATGCATCTGTCAATGAAATTAAATTGTAATGGTAAAGGAGAAAAATGAAACTGGACCAGACTGGTCTTTAGTCAAGCTCCCTGAATCTCCAGTCAGGTACTCTACCAACTGAGATATCTGGCCACCACTAATTTAACCAGTCGGACTGCTATATTCCTCCCCCAATATGTTCAGCAAAAACATTGAAATAAGTTGCATATTTTAGTAAAAGGTGATTCATTGACTAGGGCTGGGTATTGGCCCGAGATTTCGTATTGCGATATATTGCGATATTTTAAACTGTATTGCGATATGTATTGCAATGTTTGCAAGGTAATAAAAATGGCATTTTCGTACTATATTTACTCTAATTTACATGCAGAATGTACATAACTATGATAAGTAGCCAATACGGAAAAAAATCTTGTTCATTTCAGTTAAGTTATGCTCTGAAATGTTCCTACAACACAACTTCTGACTTCCTGTCTGGCTTAATACTGGCTTAATAACAAACTTTCATAAGTCCATTTTTATTTTTAATGACAAAATTCCCTAATCTAAGCATATTGCCAATATACCGATATTACAAAATTGTATTGCGATACGATATTTTTTGTCATTGTATTGCAATGTATTGAAATATCGATATTATTGCCCAGCCCTATCATTGACTGTACTTTCCCCAAGTGGCTCTGCACTTTGTTGAAAATTTTTCTGAGTCAGAAAAAATACATGTACAATAAAATTTTTGAAGAAAATGGACAAAAAGAAGAGACTCTCTCCATGTACGTGGTATACAACAATTACCATAACACTAGTAGTGTGGCACAATACTATGGTACACTTTGTTAATAACTACTGTGGACAATACTGAGTGCTTACTCAAAACCAGCTGATCCTCCAACACTATCAATGGAATTTACTTCCACAGAATTGGTCCACTCACCCATAGTAGATATAATCGTGTGATTTCATTTACTTAGAATCTTTTTTAGCTCACCTGAGCCAAAGGCTCAAGTGAACTTTTCTGATCACAATTTGTCAGTTGTCTGTCGTTGTCGTCGTCGTTGTCGTTGTTGTAAACTTTTCACATTTTCGACTTCTTCTCAAGAACCGCTGGGCCAATTTCAACCAAACTTGCCACAAAGCATCCTTGGGTGTAGGGGATTCAAGTTTGTTCAAATGAAGGGCCACGCCCTCATTCAAGGGGAGATAATTGGGAATTGATAAAAATTTGGTGGTATGTTTTAAAAATCTTCTCTTCAAGAACCACTGTGCCAGAAAAGCTGAAACTTATGTGGAAGCATTCTCAGGTAGTGTAGATTCAAGTTTGTTCAAATCATGACCCCTGGGGGTAGGGCGGGGCCACAATGGCCGACCAAAGTTTTACACGGAAATATACAGGACAATTCTTTAAAAATCTTCTTCTTAAGAATCACTGTGCCAGAAAAGCTAAAACTTATATGGAAGCATCCTCAGCTAGTGTAGATTCAAGTTTGTTCAAATCATGACTCCCGGGGGTAGAGCTTGGCCAAAATGACCGATCAAAGTTTTACATAGAAATATATAGGAAAATTCTTTAAAAATCTTCTTCTCAAGAACCACTGTGCCAGGAAAGCTGAAACTTATATGGAAGTATCCTCAGGTAGTGTAAATTCAAGTTTGTTCAAATCATGACCCCCGGGGGTAGGGCGGGGCCACAATGGCCGAAAAGTTTTACATAAAAATGTATTGGAAAATTCTTTAAAAATCTTCTTCTCAAGAACCACTGTGCCAGGAAAGCTGAAACTTAAATGGAAGCATCCTCAGGTAGTGTAGATTCAAATTTGTTCAAATCATGACCCCCTGGGGTAGGGCGGGGCCACAATGGCTGACTAAAGTTTTACATTGAAAGATGTAGGAAAATTCTTTTAAAATCTTCTTCTCAAGAACCACTGTGCCAGGAAAGCTAAAACTTAAATGGAAGCATCCTCAGGTAGTGTAGATTCAAGATTGTTGAAATCATGATCCCGGGGGGTGGGGGGGGGGCAAAATGGCCAACCAAAGTTTTACATAGAACTATATAGGAAAATTCTTTAAAAATCTTCTTCTCAAGAAAAGCAAAGCTAAAATTGATCATATTAATATGGAAGCATCCTCAGGTAGTGTAGATTCATGTTTGTTCAAATCATGACCCCCAGGGGTAGGGCGGGGCCAAAATGGCCAACCAAATTTTTGCATAGAAATATATAGGAACATTTTTAAAAATGTCTTCTCAAGAATAGCAAAGCCGTGATTGGACATGGGACTACTTTTAGATTTAAACTTTTGAATAATAAACCAATTTTTACTTTTTCCTAGCCAATGTGCTCAGGTGAGCGATGTGGCCCATGGGCCTCTTGTTTTTCATGTGCATACATGTATATTTATTAATCCAGCCTCTGTTGATGTCTTGAACTTTCATTGGTCGAGAAAAATACTGTATAAAACCATAGCAGAATTTTTTTTTTTAGAATAAAGATCAGATGTTTCTCCTTGGGGCATCATGCAAGTACATGTATATAGTCTTATATATGTTACATGAATGTCTCAGTAATGTTGAACTTTCTGCAGCATGTGTAGATGAAACATTGTATTACTCTCAACCAAGTATATGAGATTGTTGAAAAACTCTCAGTGGCTGAAAAATATAAACATATATTTAATATTTTACAGTTGTGAAATGCCATCTTGAATCTCTCATCATTTGAGCTTTATAAGAATCTCAATCCAGACCAGCTGAAATGGAATCTGAAGAACAAGAGTCCTTACTGCCTCGATCTAGACAACCCCCACCACCTGACAGGCTAGTGAAATATATGTTTTCTGTAATAAACAGAAATCAGACAATACATGAACAAAGAATGCTTCATTTCTAAATTAATCTGTGTGTAACTTTAGAAAAATCAGAGAGATCTGTAGAGGATGAAAGCAAACTATGGAATTTTCTAGTACAGTGTATATGTATATCATTTGCTGAGATTTACCAAAGTTGGTTTAAATGAAGTGGGAAAACAATTATGAACAAAATACTTGATTTATTATATCCCTGATTGGTTAGGGAAGTGTATGCAGTGGCAGATTGATCCGAGGTGGGGGGGGGGGGGTTATGGGGGTTGCAACTCCCCTTTGGATTTGCAAAACAGAGAGAAAGAAGAAAGTCCCTAGTTTTTGTTGTGTTTTCACTGTAGAAAATGTTCAGTGAAAGGCTAATGTTAAAAATGTATTTTAGAAAAATCGGTTGTGAAAACAAAATGAAAACCCAATCCTTTTACAAAATAGGTATTTTGGGTTCTGAGATTTATTATTTTGTTTTTCAAAAACTTTCAGGTAATCCATACAAGTATTTTCCCAGGTTGATCAACCTCCCACTTTTAAAAACCATGCTCCACCCTTTATCCTATTGACTTATTTAACTACATGTGTATGTAAAATGTACATTTACATTATAATAACTCTTTTCCTCTTCATCCCCACCTTTGAAAAATTCCTAGATCCGCGCCTGTGTATGAGTATTTTACTTTAATTCCTGAAAGTCATTAAAAGCACCAGTATAGTTAATTACTTTCATAATGTTACAAATTCCATTGATTTTTAAATTTGTTCATTTTTTTTGGACTTCTTGATACAGGTTTAATGCCATTTTCATTGTGTTCTACTTTATTGGTATTGGGTCGTTGCTTCCTTGGAATTTTTTTATTACTGCAAATAAGGTAAGCACGCCTGAAATTAAAAAGCTTTTTAAAGTTATCTTGAAAAATCTAATTCAAATTTACTTTTCTTTCTTAAATAATCCATCATATTACACAGTAGAAAAGTGGAAAAGTTTATATATGACTTTTTTTTTCTGTAGTATTTCCAGTACAAACTCAGGAATACTTCTCTTCCCTGGGATGATGGATTTTTTAAAACTGATCTTCAGTTCAACTTTGAAAGCTCAATTACAATTGCATCAACTGTGCCAAATGTTTTGTTTAATGTCATCACAGCCATTATGGCAGCCAGGTACACTATATCTAAATTAATTTGATTTTTATAATAGAGAGTTTTGAATATGCTGTATCGTGATTATGAAATGGTTTGAAAAAAGTTTTCGCCATGAAAGAAAGACATCTATGTATGTTTAGATTAACTGGTCAAGAGATTTTTTTAATTGAAAGGGGAGGGGTAGTGGTAATATCAATATTCATTGTTTTAAACTTTGCATATTTTGAATTTTTCAGAATTCCGCTGAAAGGGAGAATGGTGTTTTCTAATGTTACTGTCGTAGTTTTATTTATGATTACTCTAGCATTGGTAAAAATTGACACTGACCACTGTAAGTATACAGGTCTCTTTCATATTCATTGCAAGATATACTGTAAACATTTTCATTTTCATATTTATAACATTCATTTCTGAGGAAGAATTTTTAGAAATCATTCAAGAAATAGATGTTGAAGATAATTTGAATTTTCTGTCAACAGTTTGATGATTTTTTAGTTCATTAAAGTTTGAGCAAATAAAATTTAAATTGCAGTACTTATGATTGTATTAAACTGTGTACATATGTAAATTTTTTACAAAATAACTAGTTATCTGTTTCATAAATTCCTTTTTATGCCGGAAAACAGAGTGTGGTGAACATTGATAAAATGCATTTTTCCTTCCTATTTTCAGGGCAGACAATTTTTTATTCCATAACTTTGTTGTCAGTGGTTATTCTGAGTGGTAAGTTAATGTGTTTTTTCATCTATCTTTACTTTACTAAAGCTCTATTTTCTTTTACATGTACACTGATTTTAGATGGGTCATCTTAATGTGACTTAGCCCATTGATGAATATATTCCCTAAAAATTCTGTTCCCTTAAAACTCTGTTCAATATATTTTATGTGATATATGTAGATCATGCATGGATTCCTGTTGTAATTGTGACTAGTGAATTTGACAAATTAGATTTAATAGACGTTTTTTCCCTTATGCTTCTTATTCTTTTACCCTTCAGTTTGAGTTTAGAATTACAGTATATTATAGATAGAATCATGAACGTCTTTTTAATTCACTAAAGCATTTCAAGATATAAAGTTTCATGAGGCTAATGATATGCATCTAATTATATTCTTTTGATGGTTATCATGTTTAAAACATATGTTGATAATGCTTACTTTCAGCTGCAAGCTCTGTGTATATGGCTTCCATGTTTGGCTTAGGAGGGATGTTTCCTATCAAGTACATGCAAGCTGTCATGAGTGGACAGGTAATTCTTGGGCTTTTTACTCCATAATTTCTGGTTCTCCGCTTTTTTGTTTACAAAGCAATATGTCATCAGTCAGTGTTTTCAAGAGACTACATATTTATTGGTTTTTTAGCTCACCTGAGCCGAAGGCTCAAGTGAGCTTTTCTGATCACATTTTGTCCGTCGTCCGTCCGTCTGTCTGTCCATCTGTAAACTTTTCACATTTTCGACTTCTTCTCAAGAACCACTGGGCCAATAGCATCCTTGGGTAAAGGGAAATTTAAATTGTGAAAATAAAGGGCCAAGTCTCCTCAAAAGGGGAGATAATCAAGAAAAGACAAAACTAGGGTGGGGTCATTAAAAAATCTTCTTCTCAAGAACCACTGGGCCAGAAAAGCTGAAACTTATGTAAAAGCATCCAGGTGAAGTGTAGATTCTAAATTGTTCAAATCATGGCCCCCGGGGGTAGGGCGGGGCCACAATGGGGAATCAAAGTTTTTCTTAGAAATATATAGGAAAAATCTTTGAAAATCTTCTTCTCAAGAACCACTGGTCCAGAAAAGCTGAAACTTATGTGGAAGCATTCTGGGGTAGTGTAGATTCTAAATTGAAAAAATCATGACCCCCCGGGGGAAGGGCGGGGCCACAATTGGGAATCAAAGTTTTACATAGAAATATATAGGAAAAGTCTTTGAAAATCTTTTCAAGAACCACTGGGCCAGAAAAGCTGAAACTTAAGTGGAAGCGTCCTGGGGTAGTGTAAATTCTGAATTGTTCAAATCATGACCCCCTGGGGAAGGGCGGGGCAACAATGGGGAATCAAATTTTTACATAGAAATATATAGGAAAAATCTTTGAAAATCTTCTTCTCAAGAATCACTGGGCCAGAAAAGCTGAAACTTATGTGGAAGCATCCTGGTATAGTGTAGATTCTAAATTATAAAAATCATGACCCCCCCCGGGGAGGGCGGGGCCACAATTGGGAATCAAAGTTTTAAGTGATTGCTATGAACACAAAAAAGTTTAATATTTAGAAATCTGTTAATGCACAATAAATTTAAGCGTTCAAGAGGACTTGCGCCAAGGGCGCTAAAAGAAGTAATGCTCCATATTTTCTCGTTTTACAGTACACTTATCTCACTTTATTTAAACAACTCTGACTTTCATTTATGTGTGAATGACCACTTCCTTTCAGGCTGTAGGAGGAGTGTTTGCAGCTGTGGCCAATATTTTATCAATAGCACTCAGCGGGTCTGATGAAAGAGACAGTGCTTTTGTGTTCTTTACTATAGCAACAGTGACAAGTCTTATAGCTCTAGTGGGATACCTTACTCTCTATACAAATGTAAGTCAAGAAAATGGTACGATTTTTTAAAAGTCAAGTGGATTAGTTCAAGTACTTTGTTCTTTGCAAAAAAAAATGTATTTGCATTGCGTAATGCATTGAAATTTATATTGATATCAATGATATGCCATGTTTATGTATTTTGATTTTTGAATGAAAGTAATTTCATGATGTCATGTACATAAAACTGTTAAGAGTTAAACAGGAAAGTGCCATCGTAATTCTACTAATTTGCCATAAACTGCATGCATCTTGCATCTCGCAGTATTATTGCTTTTGAATTTATGCCCATTGCAGGAACTTGATTGAAGATGCTTATAACATCTTTCTATTCATTTTATATGCATATTCAATCAATGTATACTTCTCTACACTTATAGATGTTATTTGTAGTTTTCTATTGATTTTCAGGATTTCTCAAGATATTACATATATTATCAAGGTAAGGTCATTCAAATAATGATGTTCAATTATGATATACATGTACATACATGTATTTTTATACATTTTCTGTTTTACTTAAAGTAATAAAACTTCAGTTTATGCAAGAATCTTTTACAAGTCAGTTAAGAGTAGGCTCAAATACTTCAGTAGTTTTACCTTGCTTTCTCATTCAATGGATACATACTGAATAAAATATAGTTTAAATAAATATATCATTGTAAATGAGAACAGAATTCATGTAGTATTAATTAGCTCTATTGTTGTACATTCCTGTCATCCAGTAATATATTGTTGTGACATTTTCAGAGGAGCAGGTAATATCTGTTAGTCCACCTGAAGAATCTGAGGAGGATGATACAGTTGTTTTGAACAAGGAAAGCAGTGTACAAAATACCAATACAGACACTAGATCACCTTATCGAGTTGTTTTTGAAAAAGTAAGAAAATATTTTTTGAATTTCTCACAATGCTGTTCTAATAATTGAAAATTTAACTCACATCATAGGTTTATTAGCTGTGTTATATCACTAGGTTGTGAGCTACCAAAGCAATTTATGATACTGTTTAAGAAATTTCTGACAAGGTTAACTACAAGATTACCTATTAAATTTTTATATTTTAGGCCCCATACTGAATGAAGTATAGGTAAACTTGTACTGGTTTTGCTTACTGTTGTAATCCTTTTTAATTTCCTTTCTAGATCTGGCTGGACAGTTTAGGAGCAGGCTCTGTGTTCTTCGTCTCTCTGACATGTTTTCCTGCCCTAGCTTCAGCTATCGTGTCCACTATGGATGTCTCCAGTGTCTGGAAAGGTTTGTACTGAAATAATACTAAAACAAGAAGTAAGAAGGTACACATTTATTGTAACAGGAAACAAAACATATCAACCTTGAGTAACAAAAGTTATATTACATGTACTAGAATAAGATTTAATTGTAAAATGTTGATGTCCTCAAATGGCAATTCATAATAAAGGTTTAAGTTTCTGAAAAGCAAGTCAAATTTCAAAGGCAAGACATCAAAAATGTTGGTACTCTAAGAAAGCCCTGTTCACTAGAAATACACCTGTGAAGTATGAAAGCCTCAGTGCAAATTGTTCAAAAATTATTGCCATGAATAAGTTTTTCAAAGTACACTATGTATATCAAACTCCAAGGTCAAAGGGTCAAAATTAAAGCTATATATGCCGTATTAGTGTTTTATTTTAAAAGTAATAAATATATGCGGTGTCTCATCAAGTTATACAAGTTATATACTTTCTGCAAATAAGACAATTCCACTCCATCACTTTTAAAAGTTATGAAATGTTATTTGGTAAAAATTATTTTCTCTCCGTGTCGGATAAAAAACCGCCTCTTATTGAAATATTCATGATCACGTTGTCTCGCATGTTTACAGCAAACAATGGTCCAATCTCGTGAATGAACCGAAAAGCATGATGGTCTACTACGTTTTTACTACAAACACGTGAGTTAGGGATTGTCAATATTGAGAGCACCTCATAGTTGGTTGCTTTTTGTACCGAGGAATAATCACGTGCAATTGTCTTTTCAATGGACATTTTCGGTTGGGTGAACTTCTACAGCTGTCAGCGACTATGGATAAAGAAGTGTGGAAACCATGTTGTGCCAAAATGAAATAACCAATACAAACAAATTATATAATTTGATCAATCAAAATGTTATTAGATGCATTCGATTCTGCATTTCTTAATGGTTCAAAACAACAAAAAGTATTCCACAGAATATAATGTATAAATCTGCACGTCAATATACCGAATGCCAAAACCAGAATACTACTAGATAATATAATTATATTCTTTACATGTGAACCACAGTAATTCTGACCCCTTGAAAAAAATATAAAAAATCTTGCAAGTAGGTTATCAGCATTGGCTCAGGCTAATTCGAAAGTGAAATTTGGAGTTTGGTAGTAAATTGTAGTGAATGAATAAAATTTAGTAGTGAAAGATATTGGAACCTATTTTACTTGTCAGATTTCTTCGAACTAGTTGATTTTTATTCTAACTGTTCTATCCCCCCACCCAATTTTAAGAAAACGATGCTACCTACCTGAATTAATTTTTCTTAATGGTGTTCATCGAAATGCTTGGTTGTGCTCTCAAACTGGAATAGTTTTTAGAGGCCTGGAATTCCTTGACCAATTTTATTTTATTAGCCCAACTATATTTCTAAGAAGGCAAGATGTATGGTATGTAAGTTTCATCTACATATGTTATGTAGTTCATATTAAAAAACGGAAAGGGATAATTGACGATATCCCATTCAGGGTGTAAACATAGCAGTTTAATTACTTTCCATACATTGTATTTGACATAAAATATCTTTTGCGCATAATATGCGCTCCATACTGAAGATCAGTAAATGTTCACCCAACCGAAAATGTCCACTAGCAGTACAGCACGGGGAAACTCTAAACAAACGACCTGTACAATGGAGTGGGGAAAACTTTAATTTTCATCATTGTTAATCATTTGTATGCAAATATGAGCATGGGATTAATAGATAATAATGTATATAATGCATCAAGTCTTTCTGAGAGCGATTAAAAAAACTAGCCTTTTTGAAAAACACATGTAGTATTTTATGTAGTAACACATAGATGCATTAAATGCAACTCATTGAAGTGATTGGTCTATTTGTGTCCCTCACTGAACAGACGTCACAAAAAATATTTTCCTCGACCTGATGATTCTCGCGATGCATTTCCCGCGCACATGCGCAGATCCAGGATAAACGTCAGTCCTTTATAAATATGCATGAGAATATCATGTTCTTTTCCTGACTAGTACTTTGTTAATACCGAATAATACTTCGTCGAATTTGCAAGAATGCTTCATTTTTGGTAGTTATCATACTCCAGAAATTTTTGTTCGGTTTCAGCTGTGCAAAAATACTGTTTAACACGGCATACATATCTTTAATCAGGCCAAAAGTACAGGAATAGAGGTGAAATATGAAAGCCTTATCACCAACCATCAAAAAGTTATGGCCGAGGTAAAACATTTTCAGAGTAGGTCAAACTCAAAGGTCATGTTTTCACTAGAAATGCATAAGTAAAAATATGAAAGTCTTAACACTACAGTTCAAAGTTATTTTCAAAAATGGGTCAATCTCCAAGCCATATAACAAGACCGATATAAATATATAATGTACATGTACATACATGTATATCTATAGAATTTGCAATTTACCAAAAATAATTGGGTATTGGGAGTGTTTTACATTATAAATTAATGAGGACAAAAAGCAATTAATGTGACATTTTTATGTAATTACAGATCAGTATTTCAGTGCAGTTGTATGCTTCCTTCTGTTCAATATGGGAGACTGGTGTGGGAGGGCTACAGCTGGTGCCATTAGATGGGTAAGATTTTATCTGGAATATACTTAAATCAAATTTTATTCAAAGCCTTTCAAAGGAATCTTATTTTCAGGTAATTACACGTGATAGTATGTTCGTGAAAATATCATTCTCACATACATTACTGGTAGTATTTCTAAAGATTATATAAAGCAGTAACTTAAATTCTTGAAAATTTTGTCTTGCCAATAAAGAGTAAATGTATATCTCGTGAAAAAAATATGCTGTGAAAATTAAATGATGTATGAAGAAGCTCCGTTGAAAATACAAAGGTTCTACTTTATATAAGGACATGCAGTATGTATGCATGATTATATTCTACCCAAAATCTCCATCTCCTCCCCCCCCCTCCCCCCTTGGTTCAGTCCTCTTTGGGGACCAACTTGGTTTGTACTATATACAGGTTATTTTTGCTCCATGTTATTTTCATATATCGCACAACCAAACAATTTCATCCTGTTTTTAATTTGCCCAGGCATGGTTGTGATGAAAGAGAATTGCCTTCTTCATTGTAAATATATATAAAATACATTGGAATTGCATATGCCCAAGAACTTAATAGATTTTTTTTATATTTCAGCCAAATGAACACCATAGAAAGAAAATTCTTCTTGTTTGTGCAATAAGGATAGTCTACATTCCACTTATCATAATGTGCAACATTCAACCTAGAAAGAATGAAAATTGGACAGTATTTAAGAGTGATTTTGCCCCTTTGGTATTCATTCTTACTCTTGGACTTACCAATGGATATTTCTCCACATTGTGTATGATGTATGGGCCAAAGTAAGTATAAATACAGACATATTTATTATGATTGTGAATTGTCTTTCAAATCAAAAATTTTCTTTGTATTACATTTTCATATGTAATACAAAAATTTACAATATTAACTTGTTATTCATATATGAATTGCAATAGATTAACATGTTTACAATATGGAGTACCTTGCATCATGATGTCACAATAAGAAACATAAATTTGATCCTTTTGCAAAAGACACAGCATAAAATCAGTGTAAAGACAATCTTCAATAAATATTTGTTGAATGATTGCTTAATTGTTTGTCATGTTTATGGGTACATGTTTCTGAAATATTCCATCAAAATAAATTTAGTAGTAAAATTATTATGATTGTTAACATCTTAAAATTTATATTTCAGGAGGGTAGAAAATAGATATGCAGAATATGCAGGGACGTTTATGTCGGTTGCTTTGACAGTGGGATTAGCTGCTGGATCACTTCTAGGGTTTTTCCTGATAAGGATAGTGTAATTCTAGTCAGCTCAAAGACAATGCTAATCTAACAAAAAATCTCTTCTTTAATTTGGCTATTTCTGTCTTAATAATAAATGCTATTAGTAATCTCACATATTCAAGGATATAAAATATCTTTATTAACCTGGACATTTGATCATATATTCTGTGGGTTTTGAATCTCCTTATAGACCTTCTTGAAACATTATTGATATATGTATTCGGTTATTTTATTATATACCTAATGTGTATCACTCAATTTTTACTGTTGATTTTTTGCAATCTCAAGTGACATCGTGATCCGACTTTCCGGATCACCACACTGTGGTTTTCTGAATCCATATCACCACTCTCTGAAACTCATGATTTAGTAGACAGAAATATGACGATATTTTTCTTGCGCGTTAAAAAGTCCCTTGTTATTATGCTTTGTTTTATGAATAGATATTATACAATTCATCTGTTAAGTTTTATTTTGCTAGTTATAAGGGGTATATAATAAATTTTTCATTATAACGGTAACTTGATCCGAAGAGCCATATCACATCTCGTTGACAGGCGCGGATCATTATATTAAACTCAACGCTTCATGTCTCCTTTGATCTGATGATCCGCGCTTGTCAACTCGACATGATACGACCCTTCGGATCAAGTTACTGTAATGATAATAATATATATGTAAATAATCTCTTATTTAGAAGGATACAAAATCTCTTCAACATGGACATTTAGTCATGTATTCTGTTGGCTGTGAACCTTTTAATACGAGATTTTTTTTAAAACCTTATTGATATTTGTCTCGTGTATTTGTATAAAAGTGTAAAGGAATGATTTTCAGCATTCATTTTTGCATGGAGGGATTTTTTTTTATTGTTAACTAAAAAATTAATAAATTTTCAATATAATGAAAAGTCTATTGTTATTTGTGTTTGTAAGCAATCTACCATGATTTTACTAAAAGTTGTAAAACATGCTTTTTAAAATGATTGAAGAAAATCATTGAACAATTTTGAGGTAAAGGTGGTTTTTTGCATATGTGTATATGGACTGGTCAATCTAAATAAAATCTGAATTTTTGGTTGGTTACCAAAACAGATGTCTTTTATTGGATCATCACATTGTGGGTCCATTATAAAATGTCCTTAACCTTAAGACATTTCCTTAAAGGTACTTGGACACAGATTTGAAGTTAACATTTTCTCTATAATATTATGACATATATTTTAATAGTATTTCACACAAAAATTAATTAAAAATCTTATTTCATTTAAAAGTTATTAAAACTTCAAATTTTTTGGCGGGTTTGATTGACACATCCTTGCACTTTCACAAATTTTAGTTTTATTCTTAATACTTAGGAAAGTGGCAATCTTGTGTATAAATGAAAAGTATTAATACTATAAACCGATAATTCAGAGTAGACGTGTTCGAAAGCAAAACAAACAAACAATGTACATGTATATTGTCAGTCCGTGCAGTTGTGGTGAGCAGACTTTGACGATTGAACGCACCCGGTGAATCGTAAACATCAACAATAACAGAGCTCGTGCCCTGTTTACAAAAATTGTGTACATAACACGAGTGTGATCGATTTGCTAAACTCTGTACACAAAACTAAGCTCGGAATGACGATACTCATGGAGTTTTGCTTTCTTACATTTCTACTCTGAATAGAATTATTTTTCTGGATTAAAGTTTTAATATTGCTCATTTATACACAACAAGATTGCCACTTTTCCTAAGGATTAAGAATAAAGTTAATATTTGTGAAAGTGCAAGGATGTGTCAATCAAACCGGCCAAAAATTTTTAAGTTTTAATAACTTTTAAATGAAATAAAATTTTTAACTAATTTTTGTGTGAAATGCTATTAAAATATATAATTCGTGATATTAAAATACAGAAAATATTAACTTCAAATCTGTGTCCAAGTACCTTTAAGTCATTGTAACAACACACTTGGATGTGATCAGCATGAACACCCCAACTTTTAATTCATCCCATTCTATAATCCAGACTGAGACAGTACATGTATTTCACTTCTCCCTTGCCTTATGATGTCTACCTTTGAGAGGTGACCTCTGGGGTATGACCTTGACTTCATAGTTCATTAGCAAGGAGATACAATGTATCTATACAGTATGAATTGATTTCAATCAAATTCCAAAATATATTATCTCCTTTTTTACTATTTTAGGGGATCGAGCCAGCCCCAGGATCATGAAACATCTTAAGTCAATATCTTTATTTTATGGTAAAATATTTTTCTTGTAAAAGTTAAGCAGACCAAAATCGAAATATTTTTCAATATTGCTTCACAAAAGCGTTGTTTCTAGCAAATATAGAGATTAATTCAATAATTAATAAACATTTAATATGTGATTGAAATTTAGACTTAAGTCCAAGTCTGTTTCATGAACCTGAGTCCAGAATGTAGAAGTGGTCTTGTCCCCAAACAACTTTAAAGTTTTCTATGTATGTTTTACTTCATGTTAAAAGCTAGAGTCCAGTAAGAGAAAGGGATCAGAAGTGCTCCAATTACAGTAAAATGTGCTTATAATGAAACATGCTTACAATGAATTGATGCTTACAGCAGCAAAGAGTTTTTCATTTCCCGTGGCTTAAAAAGTATACCTGATGTTAAGAACTGAATAGATATAAGAAAATATGTTTATAACAAAGCAAAATCATTCATCCCTGGTATTTCTTTATAAGCTTGAATGTTTATGTCCTTTTAAAAACATTTTTATTCCAACAAAATATATATTGATCACAGACACATTCTTTTGGTGAAATGTTACAAATAATATACTTCAGCGGTAACACACACAAGTTTCATTCAGTATAGCATTTTAAGACAGTAATTAGGTATTTTAGTTTCTATCAGAAATACTGTAACAATAAAACAACATTCATACATCTTTCTCACACCTTCATATTAAGTAAAATTTATCACATATAATCTATACTTTCATCTGTGCAATACACAGAAAAGGTTTGACTCGCTTGTTGAAAGTAACACAATTTTATACTTTCTGTTATAGTTTACATTGCCCTGTAGTTTTTTTTTTCAATAAGTTGGTTAATACATCACAGTACTTTAGCACTGAATCTGTATTCAGGAAACTTGGGCAGTCTCAGCTACAAATGTACCAGACTTGGTTTGAATTGGAATTTCTGTGGCATCCATATTAGCCTGGGTCAAAAATGTACTGTCAGGTTCTTCAGGTGGACTGAAAATGGAAGGAACACTATTTATTATAAACAGATATGAACAGAAAAATTGTCGGATTTTTTTCTGCTTAAAAGTACAGTCTACAGTTTAAATTCAGTATCTCCAAAGCCATGGATTTGGAAATTATATTTTTGCATTTAAACCTTAAAAAATTGCAATTACTCAGATATCTTGAGGCTTTTCTTGGTCTTTTTTGTATAGCCAGTTCTACTTTTGTCCATTTCAACTGTCCATTTACCTTGGTTCATGTGAGATACTGAGTCTCTGGACTTTGTTTTCTATGGCAGGAAGGGGAGGGTCAGAGTTCATTTTAGTGACCTTGGCCCCTCCATTCATCCTGGCAAACAGGTAACGAATGACCCTTTCCTTCTGTTCCCAGGTCAGGTCACTGATGTCCACCTTACCAGAAATGTCGTACCTGTCAAACAAAGAGCTGACATCAGATTTTGTCTCGTGAAATAATTTTTAGATACATAAGTCTGTACAGTATTTGATACTATATCACATTTTCAAAAAACTTTTAAAAACATCAATACAAATTGAAACAGGCATGCTATGTACAGGTTCCAGAAGATATGAAAAAATCTTATTTGAATGAAACTATATATTCTGCATGCAGTATAAAATCACCATGCAGTAAACATGCCAGATGCAGAAATATACCAATGACGAAAGTGAACTGTTTAATACATAATCAAGTAATGAAGAGAATGCTATCAAACTTACGTAGTCTGCTTCCTATGAAAACAGAGGGCAGCGCAAATATAAAGAGAGTATAAATCGTGAAAAATGTCTCAAAATTACAGAATTTTTGTATTTAGTTAAAGACAACATAAAGAAAAGGATGGGAAAATACTGACACTAATGATGAGTTACAAAATCAAAAGAACAAAGAATTGGGGGTGATAAATGCGCCATGCAGTATTGGAGAGCAGAGAGTTGGTCACCTAACAGATACAAGAGGCCCAGGGGCCACAGCGCTCACCTGAGCACATCGGGCTTGAATTTACTCCCCCCCCCCCCCCTCCAGGCGTTCATCATTTGAACAAACTAGAATCTACACTACCTGAGGATGATTCCATATAAATATCACTAATCATAGCTTTGAAGTACTTGAAAAGAAGATAAATTTAAAAGGTTTCCCTATATATCCATATGTAAAACTTGGGTCGGCCATTTTGGCCCCACCCTAGCCCCGGGGGTCATGATTTAAACAAACTTGAATCTACACTACCTGAGGATGATTCCACATGAGTTTCGATCATCTTTCCTGCCCCAGTGGATATTCAGAAGGATTTTCAAAGATATTTCCTATATATTCCTATTAAAACTTGGGTCGGCCATTTTG